TGTCCCTTCAGCTCTCTCTCCCCAGAGCCACTCCGGTCTCTCCTCACATGATTCCAGTCCGCTATGCCCTCCACTGCTAGGAGGTAATGGGCTGCAAATGAGATTTTGTGCATTGGCCCTTTAAGAGGGCCCCGTGTCTCTAGCAGACTTCCATCTCTCCCTGGCAGACAGAATCCCTGCCGATGTTTACAGCCAGATGTTATGAATGAGTCCCTGTGCATGAGGGTACCTGGCTCTGTTGTTCTGGGCTGGGGAGCCTGGCTGGGGGTGAGACCCCATGCCCCGCAGGGGAACCTCTGCAGCTGAGCTATCACTGTGGGATCCCGGCTGCCACTCATGGAAGCAGGGCCCCCTCTCATGTTCACAGCCAGATGTTATGAATGAATCCCTGTGCCTGAGGGTACCTGGCTCTGCTGTTCTGGGCTGGGGAGCCGGCTGGGGGTGAGACCCCATGCCCCCCAGGGGGGACCTCTGCAGCTGAGCTGTCACTCTGGGATCCCGGCTGCCACTCATGGAAGCAGGGCCAGTCCTTTCTGTGTCTCTGCCCTTCCTACCAATCTCAGTGTGGCTTCTTCTGCAAGTCCTCGGTTATGGGACTTCTATTCTCTATTGGTATTTCCTGATACCGCTGTTAAACACAATTCTTTCACTGAAATTCTTATCTTGGGTTTGCTTTTGGGAGAATGCAAACTTCTGGGAATATATCCTTTAAAATATCTTTACACATATGCAAAAATGACATATTTTCAATTTATTATTCACCATCTCATGACATAATGAATTAAGTTCTTTATGTCTTATATGAAACAATGTCTGAGCTCTATGATGAAAAAGCATGATGCAGAAGAGGATAAATAACCTGTGCTATCATTTGTGTGAGAAGCATGTGTGTGTGTGTGCGTGTGTGTGTGCATGTGTTGGTGTGTGTTTGCATCGTCTTTGGGAAGGGGACCCGAAAACACATCGACTTGACTGCCCTTCAGAAGTGACTTAAATGGCTGGGGCGATCAGGCTGGAAGGGAGACCTTTGACTTATACTATGAACAGGTTGATCAATTCAAAGAATAAAAGTAACATTAAAATAGTAAATAACTGATAGGTAAAGGGAGGTGTGTCATTGCCTACAGGACGCTTTCAGCTCTGGTGTGGAGTGGGTTTGGCAGGACGCTGTTGGCTGACCAGGTCCAGGCCTTAGTTAGCATGGCTCCCCAAGCGGCCTGGGCCATGGCTGTCCAGGCTTCTGCAGGTGCGCGCTCGCCCGCAAAGAGAGGCCTCACTCCTTCCGCAGGGACGGCATCTGTTGCCTTCACTTCAGGTCCTCCCGCAGGAGCTGCCATCACTGTCCTGGAGGAAGGCTGAACGGGCCTTCACCCACACGCCCGCGGCCCGAGCATCCCCTGTGGCCAAGGGTTTGCCAAAGCTTCTGACCCACATGCAAGAGACATCCGAGACACACACCCCACACACTCGCACACACACTCGCACGCAAACAAGAATGGGAATGGAAACCCAAGCAGGTCTTTTCTGAGTGAGACATCAGCACCAGTCTCTGGACGGACAGACAGACGGACAGATGTGCCTGTGTAGCCGCCTGTGCGTTGGTCTAGCCAGGGTCCTGCTGGCTGCAGGAGACGCCACGCAGCGGGCAGGAGCAGCTACTGGGGTGGGGCACCTCCAGGGGCTGCAGCACTCGATCAATGATTCTCTCTCATCATTGATGTTTCTATCTCTCTCCCCCTCTCCCTTCCTCACTGAAGTCAATAAAAATATATTTTTTAAAAACATTGGGGCCAGGAAAGAAAGAAAAGAAAATACTGTAAGAAGGAGGAGAGCTGCTCCTGGTATAGTGGTCACTCTAAGTGCTCTGCACACATTAACTCAATTACCTTCACCAAATGGGTATTTGCGTTCCCATTTTACAGCTGAAGAAGCTGAGGCCTGGGACTTGCCAAAGGTCACACAGCGGCTGCACTGCGGCAGTCAAGCCCGGAAGGAAGCAGCGAGGGGGCGGGAGGGGCAGGCAGAGGGCGCCCAGGGAGTAGTACCTTGTACAGAGCGGCTGTGATGAGGGCGAGGAGGACCAGCCCCCCCACGGAGCTGCCCACGATGAGCGGGACCGGGTCGTACACCTCATATGGCTCCACCTTGGTCTCTGTCTGGGGCAGGGAAGGGGAAGGGAGGGGCGCGCCAGGGGAGACAGGCTCTGGGTTTCTGGAGGTCCCCCAGCCAGACCTTGCACCCTGGGCCTAATGACTAACCCTCCCCGTGCCCCCAACCCCAGCCCTCACTCCCCCTCCTCCCCGCCTCTCTCAATCTCCCTCTCTTTACCCAGACAGCCCCACATCCAGCCTCCCCTCCCCCTCCCAGGAGCCCCTCTGGGCCCAGACAGTTAGCTACCTGGGCCCGGACCAACACCTCCTGACCTGAGGGCAGGGCAAACCTCCGGTCATCAAACAGGATCTCCGCTGTGCTCACCACCTGCAGGTGGTTGTGCGGAGTCTGGGGAGAGACAGGCAGAGCTGGGCGCGGGCCTGGGCAGCATCGTGTCCAGACCCGCTGAGCCTCGGGCCCCGCATACCTTGATGTACCAGTCAAAGGAGAGGTTGCTGGTGAGGGCGACCCCGAACTCCTCCTGGCTGCCGAAGGAGGCGATGTCGCACTGGATTCTCAGGCACATGGCGATGGAGCAGCTCTAGGGGGCGTGGAGGAGGGGGCCTGGGGAAGCTGGTGCAGAGCACGCACCCGGGCCACCCCCGGCACCAACCCCGGGGCAGTGCTGAGACTCCGTGGCCACCACCCGCCGGCACCAACCCGGGGGCAGTGCTGAGTCTGCGTGGCCTGAAGCTGGGGTTGCCCGCATTCTTACCAGCACTGGAGCCTTGCTCAGCTCAGCCAGGAAGCTGGAGCGAGGGGGCACCCTCTCCTCCCGGTGGCATGTCCTGTTCAGGTTCTGAGGAAAGAGGGGTGCTGTGAAGGGAGACGTGAGGGCTCCTGGGTGCCCCCCGAAGGAGGGGGAGATGTCCTAGGCCCAAGAGGCGGTCAGAAATGGCTCCAAAACCCAGCAGAGGAAACAGAGATTTTAGGAAAGACCGGGGCTGTGGAGGGAGGAGTGGGGCCCACGGCTTACCGGGGAGAAGACGACGTCTGGGTCGCCCCACACGGTCACCTGGTTCAGCCGGATGGGGATCCAGAGGACCACACTGATGGGGGGGCTCCTCTGCCCCAGGTTGCTGAACTGCAAGCGGCGGGGGCGGGGTATGAGGGCGCCGGCCTCGCTGTCGCTGCACCCAGCCCCCACCTGCCCAGGACACCTGGTGACCAGGCGCCCGCCACCTGCTTTCTGGGAGGCCGGCAAGTGTGGCCTTAAACACCTGCTCACGGGCCAGCGGGGCTGGTGCTAGGCAGCGGCTCATCCTCACTGTGGTGAGACCCCAGGGTGTCATCAACCTCGCTGAGCCGTGTCTCACCCTGTAAACGGGGCGGTGCCTCCGTCACAGTCATTATGGAGGTAAAATGAGTGAATCGTGTACGTGTGTACAGCCGCCCCGCAGCACCCACGGGTTGGGCGCCGTGGGTAAAGCACAGACAATATCCAGAAGGAAATGTTATGTTGTTGCTGGTGTGAGCTATGTAGCTAGGCCTGTGACGGTTGCCTAACACGTGCCGACTTCTTGTCATCATTCCCTAAGCAATACAGCACAACAGCTGTTCACGTAGCATTTACACTGCACTGGGATCTCAGCGATCCAGAATGTCGTGGGTTATAGGCAACAACGACACCATTTATCTAAGGGACGTGAGCATCACGGATTTGGGTAAAGGGGGATCCTGCAACTAACGTCCTGCGGAGACTGAGGAATGACGGTATGTACATACGTGTACGCACGTACGTGTGTGTAGAGTGAGAGGGAGCTCGGACAGAGCCTGGCACACAGCAGGCCCCGACGCACGCTTCCCATCACCATTCTGCACCCCGGCCCGGCCTCTCGGCTCCCCACCTGATACTGATGGTTTATGACGTGGCTGGTCTTCTTTGAAGCTGTGAAGTTGAGATATTTGGTGGAGACCTCACGGCTGATGGTAGAAAGAAGAAGGAGCCGGTGAGAGAACATCAGGAATGTTCTGGAAGGGGAGTCTCGTACTACATGTGGAAGGGGTAAACAGGGACATGGGTAATGCAGGCCTGAGAGGGTGCGAGCAGGATGGAGTGCAAGGGGCCTCACACACATGTGCACGCACATGCACACACACATGCTCATGTATACAAATACCCATGTACACGCACACGCATGCATGTTTATCCTCAGAGCACATGGGCATACGCGTGCAGACTGACACACACGGGTGCTCAATGGCCCGTCCGGCCCGTGCGCAGGGGAGGGGAGCTCTGGGCGCAGCACCTGGCGACCACCATGTAGACCGTGTACTTCACGGGCAGCGCCAGCTGGAACTCCGTTTTGTTGGTTCTCGGCAAGTTGTTCTCACTGAAGGGAGACAGAGCTTTTCTTCTCTCTCTTCCTCTCCCTCCACCTCAAACCAGCCACCAAGTTAGCCCTTTCTGCATCCCACCCACCACTGTTCTCCACCCCCTGCCTCCACCTCGCCCAGGCCCACCCCTACTTCCCAGATGTGTGTGCTGCCTTCTTCTCACTAGTCCCTGAATTCGAAAGTGCTCCCACCCCAAGCCCCAGGCCTCCTGGGGGTGTCTTTCTACCATGCAAATGCGATCTTGTCACGCCCAGGTCACGCTGCAAATGTGCCGATAGCACCCATCAGCCAGTTTATGACACTATCTCAGTTATGCCAACCTCTCAGCCACTCCTTAAACCCTACGTCATGTGCCCGGGCCACGCCCCACACAGTCCGATCTTCCAGTCTCCGGCTCTTCCTCCGTACGCTCCACCTTCATTCTGTCTTCACGCCCCCCCTCCCCCGCCCCCGCAATTTATGCCTTTATTTGGCCAACTCACAGCCTTAGCACATCTTCTCCAGGATTCCTCTCTGAACACCCAGCTCCCGAGAACACAGGACAGCCCATTTCAGTGTATGGTAATCGCCAGCACTCCTGCCTACCTTTGCCACTAAGTGATAACCTCTGTGAGGGCAGCCTCAGTGTCTGGTCCATCCCTGTCCCACCAGCACTGGGCCCAATGCCTGGCACATGGTGGGTGTGGGTGTTCATTCAGTGTTTGTTGAATGAATGAGCTGAAGCAAGAACCAGTGTGTGTTGGGGGGTAGGGGGGAGGAGTGGGCGTGATCTAACACAGAGCATGCCTGTACCTGGTCACATTGGCCTTGAGAAGCAGTCTGTCTCCAAGGGAAGCATCAGGGTCCACGTCCAATGTGATGTTAAAGGTGACCTGGAGTTGGAGAAAAGAGAGATAACAAGAATAGGAGAGAAGAAACAATCACGTGTTCCTTAATGGAAGCATGAATAAGTCAAGGGTGGTGCATCCATCTAACACAGGGGTCCTCAGACTACGGCCCGCGGGCCACACGCAAATACAAATATTGTATTTGTTCCCGTTTTGTTTTTTTACTTCAAAATAAGATATGTGCAGTGTGCATAGGAATCTGTTCATAGTTTTTTTTAAACTATAGTCCGGCCCTCCAACGGTCTGAGGGATAGAGAACTGGCCCCTGTTTAAAAAGTCTGAGGACCCCTGGGCTAACAGAATAGCCCTCAGCAGGCAAAAGCAATGAAGTTCTGCAACGTGGATGATCCTTGCAAACCTGCTGCTGCGTGAAAGGAGCTGGTCACGGAGGACCACGTGCTATGGGACACTCTGGTGCGCCCTGTCCAGGATGGAGGATCTGGAGGCGGAAAGCGGGCTAGCGGTGGCCTGGGGCTGGGAGAAATAGGAACGGGGGCTGATGGCTAAGGGGAGCAGAGTCGTTTCTTGGGGTAAGAAAATATTCTAAAATTGATCGAGATGATGGACGCACAAGCCTGTGAACAACCTAGGAGCCACCGAATGGGAATGCTTTAAATGGGTGGGTGGTGTGGTATTTGAATTATATCTCAATAAAGCTGTTTCTCACAAAAGGAAGCTTTATAAGAGGAATAAGAGAAGGAGGAGGAGAAGGTGGGGAGGGGGAGGGGGAGGAGGAGGGAAAGAAGGGAATTCAGAAGAAGACGAAGGAGAAAAGGTGAGCGGGGTCCGCAGCCTGACCTCTGAGTTGCTTGGGAAGATGGGGTGGTTTATGGCGCAGCTGCCGCTCTGCAAGGTCCTGGTTTGGGTGGAGGGGCCGGGATCACAGGACACGCGCCAGGATCGCCATGACTGCGGGGACTGGAAGGCAAGGGAAGCAGAGGTGGTGACTTCAGCCACTTCCTGGGGACCCAGAAAGAAGGCCAGGGGGAGCCTGAGAAGTATTTGGCTACCTGCACCCCTGACACCGTCCGATAGGACAAGCCAGGCGGGTAGAAGAAGGCGACCCGAGTCCCAAAGGAGTCCTCGCCCTGGTTCCTCACAGTCAGCGTCACGTTGAAGTTCCGGAGACCACCCACCACCAGGGTGTGCAGGCTGTGGGGGGGACAAGCCAGGCCAGAGATGCTGAGGGCTCCCCTGGGGGAGGTCGGCTCTCAGGGGGAAGAGGCGTGGACACTTGGAGAGAGAAGCCGGTGGGAGGGCAGCCACGCAGACACCGCCTAAACAGCGGCTGTGCCCGGCTCCTGGGGCGGGGGAGGCCGAGCACCCGGTGTCCGCGTCGGCTGGGAGGTGGTGATGAGGAAGAGAAACGCACTTGGTGAGACTGAAGCTGCTGGGAGGCGGCGACGAGGAAGAGAAACGCACTTGGTGAGACTGAAGCTGATGCTGAGGTCATCCTGGCAGACACTGTCATTGCCGCAATTCTTCTCAAAGGGAAACTGCAAGAAAATAGGATATGATGAAACGAAAGGAAATAGTGAAACGCTGTGAAATGAAACAATAAAATACAATTTTGAAATGAAATGAGTTCCAACCATGATGGCATCGGGACCTCCCCTGCCCTGCAGGGCCCGCCTCCAGGACTCACCGCGGCTGTGAAG